AGAACCATTTTGGGGTGGCTTCCCAGTGGGGGGCAGGGCTCAGGGGGAAAAGGAGAGGCCAAACATACCAGCTAATCAACATAATGTTCTGGCCACTTGCAACGAAGCGAAGCGGCAGGAAAGGCATTCCAACCTTTCCAAAGAGGAGGAAGAGTGCACAGAAGACAGGAAAGCAACCCAGGACTGGGTCGTAGGTGGACCATGAAGTCTCGGAGGGCCAGAATAGCGAGTTCTGATAGAGGTAACAGTGACTATGATGTTTTGTCTTGTTTTTTGTGGCGCAATATGCTGAATGGATGGTGGAGATGAGTTTGTAGCCATGAAAAAATACAACATGTGGGCTAAAGTTTTATAAAGTTTCAATGGAACATCGTGAAACAATTAGAGGCATTGGTGGGATAATTTAAGGGCAATACAGAGATGAGAAATCTTGTTACTAGGGTCATGCTAATAGAAGGCCATTGGTGCTAGATGGTTTTTTAGATGTATTTTTCACATTGCCGGTCATTCTTTGAAATTCATGTTGTTATAGTCATAATTTAATACAAACACATTCATTTGCTGTGACCTCATCTTCATAATATGGATTATTCACATTTAAGTAACATAGAAACATAGAAACAGAGCGAGTCAGAAGGGGTCTCCCGGGCCATCTAGTCTGACCTCCGGCACCAGCCGGCTCCGCTCACGACATGCCCACCATGTGCACGTCCAGCCTATCCTTGAACACCCGCACCGATGGGGCCTCAACGACCTCTCGTGGAAGCCCATTCCACACCCTTGGGGTCCTGACTGTCAGGAAGTGCTTCCTGGCATCCAAATGGAACCTTGGCTCCCTGAGCTTTGCTCCGTTGGAGCACATTCTGCCTTCCTCTGCAGGGGAGAACAGGTCTAGTAATGTGCAATATAGAGTTTACAGGGTAATGATTTTTCCCTGAGCTCAAATATCTTCATTATTACAAATCAGTATGCATGTTCTGTCCTTCTCTGTCTGAGAACACAATGGGATTACTCTATTTTGTTTAAGTCTGTATATGGCGATGTATCCCATCCTTGAGCTTTATAAGTCTCATCCTCTGCATTGCTTGGCAGAGTTGAGAAAGCTCCCCAAGCCCGCACAGCTGATTAACACCATGTGGCATATGGTACAGTCCTCTCATATAACAGACTTCACATTTTGGGTTCATGTGCAGGTTGACTGGTTGGATGGTCTTTCTTTCTTTTTCTTTCTTTCTTTCTTTCTTTCTTTCTTTCTTTCTTTCTTTCTTTCATGTGTTTGTGAATAGTTAGCCAGAGTGGCTTACCCATGGCTTTTCTTTTCTTCCCTTAAAAAAAGAAAGAAAAAAAGCTGCACTCTGCAAAGAAATTAAACTCACTATAAAGAAGGACTACCTTTTATCTGACCTGACAGATCCCAAAGTCTTTTCCCTAAGGAGAGTCCAGATGCCAAGGATGATGGAGTGATTGTATCTCCCTGTATTCCTAAAATATATCAAAAACTCCCCTCCACCCACAGTAAACGGAGACCATCTAGCTTGTTTAGTAGCGGTGAGCCAGAACACGTAGCGGAAAGGATGCTGGAGTTGGCAGACCTTGCCCTGTCCCTTCCCTGCCACGCAGAACAGCTCCTTTTCGACCTCTTGCAGTCATTTAATAAGTAACCCTAATAATTTTAAAGAGGACAGCAACACCTGAAAGTGAAAAATAAGAAACTAGCTCCCTCTGCTGGACTATTTTTAGTTTTTATTGGTTATTTTGTGCATTTTAAAACATCCTTTCCATATTATCAGGGTTTGCCTCCCCGCCCTTTTCCATACCCCTAAAATACAAAAGCGCCCACACGTTTCATCCAAAGAACTTATCCTATATGCTCCAGTTATCTGGGACCCGTGCTCCTTTTCTGTCCCTGTTAAACGTAACGTTCAGATTTTGCTCTCTTGAAAGAATGCTGGCACAGTGACCTAAAAGTGCAGCTAGATAGCCTGATGCTCTCCAGATGTTTAGGTCTAAAACACCATCATTCCTTAAAACACCATCATTCCTGACAACTGTCCACACTAGCTGGGGATGATGGAAGATGTAGTCCAAAACACAAGGAGAGCACCAAGTGATCGATCCTTCCTTTAAAAGCTTTCTTCCGCCTCCACCGCTCCAGTCACCTACCAAACAACGGACAAGATAAAGACAGGATCCCATGAATGTTTCGACAGAAAATAGTCCTACAACTCCCAGCATCCCCCTGCCAGCATGCTGGTAATTGTAGGACTTATTTCCGCCTAAATAAGCATAGCACTACACCCTAAATGTTGCAATTTCTATAACAAATGCAGCTGGATTCATCATGAGATTCATCCTAGGACGAGAGTTTAAAGCATTCAAGTTTAAAAACAAGACAGGACAAAATAGCAAAACATCTTTCCAAAAGATCTTTCCACCAGAAGGCCAAATATAATTTTGGAGGTGGGGGCACATCCTAGAGGAGGATGGGGCCAAATTCAAAATGGGATGGGGCCAAGGGCAAAAGAGGAAGGGGCAAAATCTGACAAGCACCAGCAGAGTTTAGCTTAAAGCTCTTGCTGCCAGAAACTAACCCTTAAGAGAGGCATTTTGGGATGGCAGGAAAAGTACACCATAACCGTGACCCCACAACTATCGGCCAACAGGAGAAAGGGAATGTCACTTTATTCTTTTCGGCACCAGGCTAAAACCTTTTCATTTTCCCAATGTTTGACGATCTGCTAGTTTTAAATGGCTTTATTGTCAGCTGAGTTTTTAGGACGCCGTGTTTAATTTTGCATTTTGTATTGTTAAACCATCCCAATACCTTGGTAAGGGACGGTCTAGAAAAGGAATGAATGAATGAATGAATGATAAAAATGTGGTCAGCTCAGGAACCCTGGTGGACTCGACCAGGGCTCCAGGAGGGCTGCATCTGGGACCTGGGCCTGAGATTCAAGCCAGGTCCTCCGGCTTCAGTGCAGCACTTACGTCATGCGTGGGCAGAGCTGGTGCTTTCTTTCCTTGTGTGCCTTCCTGAGAACACAAGCATCTTGCTCCAACTTTGGTCAGAATTTGGTTCTGACATCCGGCTTGCTCATCAGTCCTGTCTTCATGCTGCCCCCTTGGTTGTTCCAACCAGCTCTTTTGGGTCAGAGGGGAGAATTTCTCTTCCACGTGTAAAAAAATCAGAAAAAAGGGTCCTCCAACCCACATTTTCCCCACACAACGGGAGAATTTCAAGAGGTCATTTGCACGCAGCTCTGCAGCTGCTTAGCAGAAGCTGGTTGTGAAGTGTGGTCCTATTTTTGAAAGCATTATTAAACACAAATCTTCATAGAGCTGGAAAACAAAATATCATTGCTAGTTGTTTTTTTAATATGGAACAAACACACAGTTGTTGGGGACAATTTCAGACCGTGAGGCATAGCAAGAGTGGGGGATAATGTGGCCGCATGGCTTGACGGAGTTTGCACCCCGGTGATGGAGGAGGTCTAGTGTGCCACCGGTGCGCACGGGAACTTGTGAAGCCAGCACTGGTTTTGTAGCCTGTATCTATCACAGCCGCTCCTCTCTTGCCGGACAGAGAAAAATGGTGTTGCGGCAATTGAGCGTCCTCATTTCTATGCTGTGAGAGCTCATAGTCATTTCTAGGAATGTTCATGGCCTCGGCAAGGTAGTTTTTCTTAGCAGAGACCATAAGCTAAGCCAGAGATGACCTGGTGAGGACACTTCATCAAAGAAAATGTAGCTCGCTTCCCAGCCTTCGCATAAGTGATGCCCAGCTCTCTTCATATTCTATTAGAATGCTCCAGGAATATGTGTCCAAGAACTCTTAATACCTTCAGCTTTTGATTCTTACTCGTCCACTCGCATCACCAGCTTAGGCCTATGGAATAATGTTTTACGAGCACAATCCACTGATAGATTCATTTTTGGATCTCTGGGCATTGGGCAGAGCTTTGGAAATTTTGTCATTCAGGGTCTGTGGCAGAATAGCCAAAACCAAAATACAGGAAAACTTCAAAAGTATATATTTAATTCGATTAAGACTACAGCATGTAATTCGACTTTTTTAAAAAAAGGTGCTAGTACCTGACAGTTAATTCAATTTATTTTGCCATCATTGGCCAGATGAACCCAATGTGGAAGGAAGTTTAAATCTGAAAAATCCAGTAGACCATGATGGTTCTTTACATGTTCACATAAAAAGGCACTCATTAACCTGGTTTGCATGGCAACCAGCCCCAGCTAACAAAACCATGCTACCAGCAGGAGAGCTTAGCTCAAGCCACCCTGAGAATCAAGGGCTCGTTTTGGGCTGTCCGTGTCCATGATGGCTCGTCGTGTCATGCAAACCCAGCAGGGTGATTTTAGCTACAGAGGAACAAAAGGCCTTGCCACTCACAATGATCAGCAAGATTGCAATGCCGAAACAACACTTTGAAAGGGCAGACACTCATTCTGTGGAAGTTAGGAAAAGAAACCAAAGGCATTCGTACAAGATGGGGAATATGTGGCTCAACAGAACTGAAAAAGAAAAAAGACTCCAACTAATTGTGGACAATTGGCCAAATACGAGCCAACAAGGTGATGCAGCTGCTCAAAGGGCAAATGCTATTTTGGGATGCATTCATAGAACTATTACTTCCAAATTATGAGTAGTGGTTCCTTTATACTTCTCATTAGTCAGACCCCATCTGGAATACTGTGTCCTGTTCTGGGCTCCCAGACTGAAGAAAGATGCAGAAAAATTAGAAATTAGAAAATTAGAAATTAGTTATTTTTTTATTTTTCAGGGCTTCAGAAATGTGTGGTTGAGGTCAGAATTGTTTTGGCCAGTTACTTAAATAAATTAATTAAATTAGAAATCCTGTTTTGGTGTTCAGGGCAGGCTGAAGTTTTTTCTGCCTTGCCATGGGGTTCAGCTCGGAGAGGAAGGGCAGATTTCTCATCCCCATAAACCTTCCGGCATGACAAAGCCCTGTCCTTCAGCCAATCACCTTCTCCACTTCCTCATGTTGCATCCCAGGACCATGCGCTAACCTGTGCTCCCCAATCTCACCGAGACATTCCTCATCTTCTGAATCTGAATGAGCACCTGGGATGCAGCCCAAACTTCCATCTCTCTTGCTCCCAACCACCGAGTCAGCAGCTCGACGCATGCCCGACATTTTGTGATTTTTCTGCATTGTATTGCTGAGGTTTCTTTTGTCACTGCAAGATGAAAAATGCAGCCTTGACACAGGAGTTTTTCCCAGAATTTGTATTTCTCTGCATTTTTATATCTCTTATCAGCCAACCACAAGGTGGTGTTCTAGTGGATTTAAAGGTTTTGTCCCACATGTAGTAGTTTACAATTTAACTCTGGGCTTTCCTCATGGCAAAAGGAGTCCACAAAAGAGGCTGGAAAACAGGAGAGACTCTGGAGGAGAGATCACAAGAGCACAGTGATGCTGTCTTGTGTAGACAGCAGCTGTTCAAGTTCCAGCCACGATGGCCAATAATCAGGGATTCCCAAACATCTTGAGGGCTCCTGGGTACCTTTCAGAGAAAAAAGGTGGGGGGAGAGAAGCTGGGAATCAACCCATGAGAGAACACATCCTACCTGTACACCCTCCAGCCAATGGCAGAAGGTCTGGGCAGAATAAAAGCTATTGCCCACATCTTCATTCACTAAGTGTAGCCATGTGGTTCTGTACGAAGGTGGACTTGTTGAGCCACTACACTCTTAGGGCAGCTTTCCCCAAGCTGGTGTCCTCCAGATGTTCCAGGCGCAGCTAGCCAGCACAACCCTTTTGTTATACAAACATCAGAAGGGTGACAGGTTGGAGAAGGCTGTTAGGGCACAATATATTGCCCATCACTTTCCCTGAAAGAACCATTGTTGGGTGATTCTTCTGCAGCCAGCTCTACACAAGAATTACCTGGGGGAGGAAACGGCTTGTAAACCATGTCAAGGCTGTGACAGAGATCCACGTGGAAGGCATTCCTAGAGTGTGGGACTTGGCCACGGTTCAGATGATGCAATTACCATTTCTACTCTGTAGGTGGCAATGGCATATTGAAATAGGCACCTTGTTTATACTGGAGGAGATGCACCACAAATGAAAGCCAGTTGAGGACCCAGACAAATAACTATATATATCCTGCGACTGACATTCCCAAGAGCAAGACAGAAGCTCCATGTCCAGTTTTGGGGCTTTTTTGGAGCTAATAATTCCTCCATTGCCCATACTTTTGAACACAGCAACTGATTCAGCAACTGAAAGAAGGTGTCACCAATACAACATACATTTTCCTTTGTGAGACAACAAAATAAGCTTGGACTAAATTAGACACTTATTTCTGAGTGAGCTGACACTACGCTGTAATGAACCAGACTTGTCATGCCATATTGATGTACACTATGAAGGGCTGTAGATTACTTCTCACAGGATCCGTTTCATACAGGATCAGTTTACCATTGTACAAAAGAACGACAGAATCAAGAGGCCAGAAATGACTACGGAAAATGTTAGCCTGTAGTTTTATTCTTGCAAGGAGTGGGGGTGAATAGCAATTTCACCCCCTCACTTTTTAAATTTACACAGTTCTCAGACAACACGTCTGATTTAGAACTGTATTTACATGGTCTCTCCAACTCCTTCACCCAATATGTGGACAGAGAAATGGGCCAAGCAGGGCAAATTTGCTAAGTTTTTCCAGAAAGAGGAGAAATTTACCAACTGTTTCTCACAGGTCGTAATCCAAGGAAACTTGAGGAGAAATGTTTGTGCGGTGAAAAACAGGACACCTGTGTACAGTCCTTGGCCACCTTCTAAGTAAGGTCAACACAAGAAATCCAAATCCAACCCAGGAGAATTTCTCAGACGTTTTCCTTCATTTTTCCCTGTAAGCAACTGCTTTTCTATCAAATTAAGTAAGAACGGTAAAAACATGTGAGAGAAATACCAGGCACAGTAGTCATCTAAGATGCAGACCAGCTGGAAAGGGTTCAGAGGAGGGCAACAGGGATGATCCAGGGACTGGAAACTAACCTTATGAGAGACTGGAAGAACTGGCCATGTGTAGTCTTGAGAAGAGAAGACCGGGAGGAGATATGATAGCACTCTGCAAGTACTTGGAAGGCTGTCCCACAGAGGAAGGCCAGGTCTACGTCCTGCACTCTTGACCATTCCAGATTGCAGGACATGGAATAATGAGGCCAGGATTTCTTCTTGACCATCTCAGAGTGCAGGACATGGAGAAGTGACCATAAGCCAGGTTCTGGTTGAACATCAGGAAGAACTTCCTGACTGTTAGAGCAGTACTGCAGTGGAACTATTACCTAGGGAGGTCGTGGGCTCTCCCACACTGGAGGCTTTCAAGGTGGTCCCTTCCAACTCGACTATTCTGTGATCTATTCTAGGGTTCTAGGAATCCCTCCATGCTTTACTCCATCCTTTGATGTGGATGGGCCATGGCTCCATGGCAGTCCCTGCACTGCATGCAGAAGGTCTTCCCCCGGGTATCTCCAGGTAGGGCTGGGAAAGCCACCTGAAACCCCGGACAGTTGTCATGGCCAGTCCAAGCCAATGGTGCAGGATGGCCCAATGGGGTGCAAGGCAACTTCCTATGCCTTCCTATGTCCAAGCATTATAGGTCTGTAAAAAACAAAAAATGCAAACATATATGGAGCGCCATATGCATTTCTGCATGCCTCAAGGAGGAAAACAGCATTGCAAAATGCAGAAATGCAGAATTGGAAGGACAACTGTGTTTCAGTCAGCATGCTAGCCTGGGAGGTGCACATCCGGCTAGATAGCTGTGCAGTGGTGGACCAGACCCAATTCTCAGGCATCCCTACCAACCATCCACTTCACTTTCTCAACTGTAGATTTCAGTGTTAGTCAGACTTTCCCGCTGCCCAGAAGTGAATGAGGAACTCTGTGCAGGAGTTGCAAAAGCCAAAAGGGGGCATGAAGGAGGTCTGGGCTGGGTCCCCCGTGCTTAACAGCCTCGCATTTCCTCTCTGTTCATATAAAATACAGTGTAAATGGGAAAACATTCGATTGGATTACTGCAAGGTGTTCCAAGCTCTCCATGTAATATCACAACTGGCTATAATTCGGCACAGTCTATCACATTATACACATCTGATGGCTTGGAGAAATTGCTTTCAAAATAAGATTGGAGTTGTAAAGAAAGCAGTAGGAAAAGTGGTTTTTCATACTGTAGAGCTGGGTGAATTTATATAATCGCTTAAAACTAAGAAGCCTGGCCTTTCGTTGAATCCCCCCCACCCTTGCTTTCCCTTTGTAGCTATTATTGCCTCATTATACAGTCATTTGTACAATGTTTTGGCAGACATTCACTGTTGCATAAATTAAAGTCACTGCATCTAGTTTTTGCCTACAGGTCTTTGATGAAAAGACCAGGAACATTTTTATTTGAATGTCAAAGTTTGTCAACCATTAAACTGATTGATTTTTCATTATACAATTCAATAGGAGAGGCAATCTTCAGTCTGTATGCAACATTACACTGAGAGATATACTCATCTCTGGAAGAAGGAGAAAAAAAATCCGTCCTGCTTATGCTTAAAAAAAAAATGATATTCCTGGCACGGAAGAACCACATGTTTCTAAACCATCTCTATACATGAATTGTTTTGTTAATACACCCGAGACAGGTATGCTGCTATAATTCAATTTTCATGAAAATAAATGAAAAGACATAACGTGGCTGCAAAATTTCACTTTAACAACTTTTCAATGGGTTTTAAAGATAACAGGCTCAGTGAAGATTTTCTGGAACAATCATGGGAAGTTTTGAGTGTGTGTGTGTGTGTGTAAGAGAGAAAGTGACAACACAATCATCCCTAAATAGTAGCCCTGTTTCCACATCCAAATTAGCACATCGTAGTGACCAGTTCCACATTGCCAAAGAGGATGACAAAAGAGGACCCAAATTTACACATCCAATTTTAAAAACAATCCCTTCCATTGATGGCTTTATTATATTTATCCTGCCTTTTTCATTTAAGGAGCCCAAAGCGACTGGTGAGGTAATCCCCTTTCTCTCCATTTTATCCTCACTGTGAGTTACGTGATAGTCAGTGTCTGGCCAACAAGCCAGCGAGTTTCATGGCCCCATGAGGATTCGAACCCAGATCTCCCAAGTCCTGCCCCAACACTCTAACCACTATACCGTCTGCCCCATAAGAGGGAAGATTGTGATCTGAGTGTGTGGGTTTGGTTTTCTGCCCTGGTGCTGGTAACACTTAGGAACACAACCTATTGTGCGCCATATTGGCTCAGACCACACTCATGGAGTGCAGCATTCTGTTCACACAATGGCCAGTCATGGAAAACTCACAATCAGAGCATGTGTGCCACAGCACCATCCTACCCATAATCCTCAGTCACTGGGGAACATGGGCCTGCTGCCCCGATAGCTGAGGGAGCATATAGGCTACCCCTCCAATAAATACCCAGTAACTCCCATTCATGACTTCAAAGCACGGATGGAAAGCAAAAAGTTGCACTGCACTTCTTGTTAAATTTTTACTTACTTTTCTATATTGCCCCATAGCCAAAGTTCTCTGAGCGGGACACAGTCCATGAAACAGATGAATAAAGTACAATAAAAATATCATCAATTCAGAATAAGTATGAAAAAGTTTAAAACAGCTAAAACGTAATAAAAACTGACAATGAGAAGGAATGAGAGAGAGGAAAATGCAAGGGCGGGGGAGCTCTGCAAAAGAGCAAGCCGCCGGTTGTCAGTCTTATATTGTATCACCATTTTCAGAAACCATCTACAGTTGGATTCCTTGCCGGGGAGCAATAGAGGGAAGAAGTTTGTGGGCATTTTGCCCTCCTTGTGGTCTTTCCTGAGCCATGGAATCGGTCCCTGCAATAAACAAGACGGATCAGTCTTCCATATCTGCCTCTTCCAGGCCTCGTAAGCATCAGAAGCACCTTCGACTTGCTAACCCTTGCAGAGTGGGCCTTCTCCTCTACTGGGAGACCTGGGAAGGCTCCCCGGAGAGTGGCAGCTGCAGCAGGAGGTCTGTAGTGAATGGCTTGGAGGCCCTGTCCTAGCCCCTCTGAAGCTGCTCTTGCAGTGTCCCTTTGTGTGAAGCAAATGTGCGTTTGTGAGGCAGCCCTTTCCACTCAGAACGAGTGGAAAGAGAACGAGAATGGTGAGGACACGGTCCTGTCACCCTCATGGCAGACCCTGCTAAGCTTCCCAGTTTGGGGGCTGACAAGCATCAGTGGAAAGTCCATGTGCTTGGACAGCAGTTTGGGCCACCTGGAGGTAGAGCAGGCAATGGGGAGGGAAGGCACATCTTCCCCTCCCTTCCCATGCCCATGCGCACCCCTCTGAGGCCCAGATGAGACCTCAGGTATGGGGGGCAGCTAGTTCAGTTCTACCAACACCAACTATGAGGGGCAGAATGTGAGCTCAACCCTTAAAAGCCCTTGAAAGAGACCACAGGATAGCTCCCAGAGCATAATAAATAAGGGTTCTGAGTTTGCAGAGAGAGCAAAAGCAGTAAAAAAATGCTGTTTGGTGCATATGGTAATAATTTTCTTAAATATGCTGGAACCTTAACAAAGCTGAGAATGAATATCAGGTCCCAGTTAATTCAAAAATCACTTTTAATTAAATTGCACAGTCAGAAGTCTTTGGCTGCAAAAAAATTACAACTGCCATCATTATCTGCCCATAAATAGCCAACTTTTCAGATTAACACACAAAATGTTAATGACACTGGCATTAAGACCTAATTAAACAATGAAGTAATACATAGATTACGATCTGTTGGTGGAACATATGGTCAAGTGAGATGCATTTTGGTAAAACGTCATTTTATGTTAGGCTTCAATTACTTCAGCCCGAGTCCTCCCTAAAAGCACTGACAAAAAGTAGATGTTCTGGTACCCAAAGAAAATAACCTCTCCGTCCTTTGAATACTATAGGAGACGAAGGTCAACGAAGGCCATTCCCTAGGTTGGTCATGTTGGTTTCCAACACTGGAAGCATTCGGGGGCAGTTGGATGGTTGTCTGTCAGGGAGGCTTCAGCTGGAGTCCTGAGCAGAGCAGGGACTTGGGTTCAATGGCTTTATTTATTTATTTAAAACATTTCTATGCCGCCCCCTCGGGGCAGCTCACAACAAAAACAAAACAAACAAAATCATATAAAAATTTATACACTAAAAATATTAAAACCTGGTGCATCTCGGCTTAATTTTTTTTTTAAATCCTCCATAATAAATTACCACTTAAAATAAGTTTTAAATAAAAAGGTCTTTGCCTGGTGCCGAAAAACAAATAACGACAGCGCCAGGCGGACCTCTCTGGGGAGCGCATTCCACAGATGGGGCGCCACCACAGAGAAAGCCCTCCTCCGAGTACCTATCCTCCTAATTTCCTTCACGGAGGGTTCCTGGAGAAGGGCCTCTGCCGCTGATCTCAGGGGGCGGGTGGGCATATATGGACGCAAGCGCTCCTTTAGATACCCAGGACCCAAGCCGTTTATAGGCCCCTTCCAATTCTACTGTCCTATGATTCTAACTGGTTGGTGGTTCCTCTGTCCTTTTTAGCTCCGTGTGTGTGTGTGTGTGTGTGTGTGTGTGTGTGTGTG